AAGTGCTGGGATTACAGGCTTGAGCCACCGCGCCCGGCTGCAGTATAGCTTAAGTGTATACTTTTCCTGTTATGAGTATGGATGAGGCACTAATGAAGCATTTGTTGAGTGAATGGAATGCTGCAGAACAGCCAAAACATGCCATTGAAACCGTGCTCTGCAACCTGTGATTGCTTTGTTTCTTTAGGTCTTACCATGACTACATAGAGAAATATTTGTATCTAATGGTCCCTTTCATGTAGAAGTAGGTCTTGGATTATATCTTTTTGAAAATTTAGGCTGGGTGTGTTGGTTTATGACTGTAATCCCAGCACTTTGGGAGGCCAAGGGGGGTGGATCATTTGGGGTCAGGAGTTCAAGACCAGCCTGGCCAACATGACTAAACCCCATCTCTACTAAAAATACAAAAATTGGGCCAGGCTCGGTGGCTCATGCCTGTAATCCCAGCACTTTGGGTGGCCGAGGGGGCGGAATCACTTGAGGTCAGGAATTCATGACCAGCCTGGCCAATGTGGCAAAACCCAAAAATTACCCAAGCATGGTTGCGGGCCCCTGTAGTCTCAGCTACTCGAGAGGCTGACGCAGGAGAATTGCTTGAACCTGGGAGGTGGAGGTTGCAGTGAGCTGAGATTGTGCCACAAGTACTTCTGCTTCAGCCTCCCAAGTAGCTGGGATTACAGGCACCTGCCACCATGCCCAGCTAATTTTTGTATTTTTAGTAAAGATGGAGTTTCACCATGTTGGCCATAAGAGCAACATAGAGATGACTTGGGTAGGGTTAGCAGAGGGCACATTGGAAGGTTTTTCGAAATGGCTGAACTTCTGACAGATTTTGATTGCATCCTTGAGTTTTGTAACATTTTCCAACATACATGAAAGCTGTAGAATCATGAAATTTTAATGTTTACTGAGGACCTTCAATTATCAGTTCAATTCTCTAAGTTGTCTTAGAGCAATAATGAGCCCAAGAGAATTAAAGAGACAAAATGTTAGTGACAGAGGTAGAAGTTGGACTTAGGTTATCTGGTTGCTAGTTTTGGTTAAAACGCTAGCAACTAGGTAACCTAGATCAGTATTCACTCCACAGTACCACTGTAGGTAATCATTAGAGATGTTTGAGAAAAACAGAGCAGATGGATTCAGTTGTGAGGGTGGAAGTGGGGAAGGAAAAAAGTTGGGGTTTTTAAGGGCTCAAATTAGATTTGGAGGACAAAGGAGCCAATAAAGCAATAGTTACTAAAGTAAATCTGAAAGGTTTTAACCACCCTTACAGAAGTAAAGAAGGTTAAAGTAAGTGTTTCATTCCCTTTAAAACACTTTCATTTACTTCTTACTTTTTTTTTTTAACAGATAAAGATGTAGAGAGAATAATCCCTTAAAAATATTTTAAATGTTTTACTGGAATGTATGTTTAAAAATTTAGAGGATTAAGTTTGTTAATGGGCTTATTTTCTTTCATATCACTTATTGTTCTTTTTTTCTTTTCCAGAATTTTATAGAAGTGAAGTGATTAAGAATTCCTTGGTAAGTTTGCTTTCTGACAGGTACATGTGACTAAATATATACACTTTTTTCTGTCTTCAGAAACTGCAGAAATGTAAAATAAATTGAGGTTCAGCTCTGGTTTTAAAATACTTAGCAGATCTGCTCAATTGTTAAATCATCATTGTTTTGTTCATTGCTGTATCTCTAGCGCTTTGAACATGACTGGCATGTAGTAGGTACTTGATAAATATTTACTGAATGAACTGATTTTTCTGTTAAGAATTTTAAATGGTATAAACTCAAATTCTATAATTTTCTCACTTTCATTTACTGTAAATATATTTCTGACTATTTCACTGGCCATATGTCATAATAAATGATATCTTTATTTAGATACAGTTCTTAAGAATTTTGTGCCTAGGGCTTTTGTATAGGATACTCCTACTTGTTTCTTGGCAGTGGCATTGCTTAGTTGGAAAGTTGTAAGTGTCCTGCTTTTGATAATGTATACCCTCGATATTTGCAAAAATGGCTCAATTTATTAGGCTGTGTTGAAAACAAAGAAGAGCTTTATGTTAATGTAAGTATCATTTCAATGGTCCAATACCATTTTGGATTTATCTGCTATTCCACCTCATCCCCCCCCCCCCCCCCCCCGCGCCACACTCAGTGTGTTCCAGGTGTACCTCTTTCAGTGCTTCAAACATGGGAAGCTTATCTTCTTCCTTCTGCCTGGAACACTTGTTTCCTCAGCTGTTCGCTTGGCTGAAGAGGTCTTTCAGCTATGTCACTTCAGCAAGACTTTCTATGATTATCTCATCCAGAGTAGTTCCCTTTTTCCTAGTCATGCTTTTTCATGACCCTGTTTTGTTTTTTTTCTTTGTTTTCTTTTAATCTTTTTTTCTGTTTTCTTTTTTTTTTTTTTTTCATGACCCTGTTTTATCTCTGAATGTTAACTCCTGTCTTCAACTCCTTTTGGCCTCCATCTTCAATTGCTTTGGAATTATTTGTGAGGCCATGATACCTTCATCCTTAGCGCACTTAGGTGGAATACTGAATCCAAAGAATATTGTAGAATAGATTCAAGACAAGGGAGAGGATTGGACTAAAAGACTTCTGGGCTCCTTTCAACTCATAGTTTATATACTGTTTTTGTTTTCTGAGTGTACCACAAACAACGTTTGCTAGCATTGTGATTATTCACGAACATTCTTTCTCACAAAGTAGATGAAAACTCCTGGAGGTGGAGGTCACAGACTGTATATCTTTATATCCCCTTAATTCCCAGTATATTTCTATTGGGTAATTGTTTGACAAATATTAATGATTTGATGTTCCTTTTAAAGGTATTCTTTGATATTTTGGCAAGTATTGTTTTTTTTGTTGTTGTTTCTTTTTTATCTTAATATAGGTTCTATGAACGTAATTAACTTTTTTTTTTTTTTTGAGACAGGGCTTCTCTTTATCACCCAGGCTGGAGTGCAGTAGCATGATCTCAGTTCACACCCACCTCCTGGGTTTAGGTGATCCTCTCGCCTCAGGCTCCCAAGGAGCTGGGACTACAGGCATGAGCTACCATGCCTAACTAATTTTTATATTTTTTGCAGAGACAGGGTTTCACCATGTTGCCCAGTCTGGTCTTGAACTCCTGACCTCAAGCAATCTGCCTACCTTGGCCTCCCAAAGTGCTGGGATTACAGGCATGAGCCACCATGCCAGCCCTGCTTAACTCTTTTCTTTCTGAGGGAGCTCTTTCTGCTTAGCAAAAAGCTAAGGAGTCAACAACTCTCAGAGAATATACCAGAGATGGCATGTTGTTACTGCCCTTCTTGCTGTCTCTGAAGAATCACTGCCAGGCCCAACAAAGAGCAGAATTGGTTGGTTTCTTCCCTGTTTATGATTTTTGCAATTCTTAAGCTATTGTGTTATTTACTGAATAGAGTTAGTGATTTAAATGTGTTTGTATCTGTTACCTTTATGCTTGGCGCATAGAAGATGCTCAGCAAATGTTTCTTGAATAAATGAATTCTTCCCTAAGTATATTTATTGAATTTGAAGTTATATCCTGAAACTGCACATCTTCAATTAGATGCTAAAGGATTAGACAAAGATTTGAATACTTTATTTCTAACTAAGGCTTTGGGTAAATTTTCACTCTGGTGAACTAAGTTGGACTTTGACGAGCTTATAAATAATCTTTTTCACTCATGTAACTTTAAGATGTAGATTGTTGTTCTTAGTTTATATTGTGAGCTTGGTTCTTAGACCAGAGTGGCTTGGTTTCATCACTCTGACGTCAAAGGAGACATGGAAAAATGGACTCAAGACGAAAAAGAGTGTTTTCCCCCAAAGATTGGATAAAATGTTCTTGTGCCCCTATACTGTGCTTCTTTCTAACTCCTGAATAGTCCAGATCACCTGTCCAATAAAACTTTCTACAGTGATGGTAATGTTTTATGTGTTGTTCAGTACAATTGCCACTGGCCACATGTGGCCATTGAGCATTTGAAATGTGGGTCAGTCCTGCTTCAGAACTGAATTTTAAATTTTGTTTAATTTTAATTTAAATAGCCACATTCGGCTAGCAGATATCATATTAGACAGCACAGTTCCTGATGCTTCTGAAAAACTTTGTTTCTTTTTCTTTTCTTTTTTTATTTTTTTGAGATAGTCTCACTCTTGCTGCCCAGACTGAAATGCAGTGGCGTGATTTTGGCTCTACCTGTGCAACCTCTGCCTCCTGGGTTCAAATGATTCTCAGCCTCCTGAGTAGCTGGGATTACAGGCGCCTGCCATCATGCCTGGCTAATTTTTGTATTTTCAGTGGAGACAAGATTTCGCCATGTCAGTGCCAAGGCTTGGTTGGTCTCGAACTCCTGACCTCAGGTGATCCGCCTGCCTTGGCCTCTCAGAGTGCTGGGATTAAAGGCGTGAGCCACTGCGCCCAGCCAGAAAGCTTTCTTATAATCATTAGAAGGAAGAAATTTCCCCTTTTTCTTTCTTTAAAAGTGGTTTTGGGCCCAGTGCATTGCTCATACCTATAATCCCAGCAATTTGGGAGACTGCGGCGGCTGGATTGCTTGAGCCTAGGAGTTCAAGACCAACCTGTGCAACATGGCAAAACCCTATCTCTACCAATAAATGCAAATATTACCTGGGCTTGGTGGTGCATGGCTGTAGTCCCAATTACTTTAGAGGCTGAGGCAAGAGGATTACTTAAGGCTGGGAGGCGGAGGTTTCAGTAAGCCAAGATTGTACCACTCTGGCTTGGGTGACAGAGCGAGACCCTGTCTTGGAAAAAAATTACTTCAAGCTAAGTATGGTGGCTCACACCTATCCCCCAGTACTTTGGGAGGCTGAGGCAGGAGGATCATGTAAATCCAGGAGTTTTGAGATCAGCCTGGGCAAGATGACGAGACTCCCATCTCTAAAAAAGAAAATTAAATAAATAATAAAAATAATAATAAAGTTAGCTGGGCATGATATTTAGCAATTTTTCCTTCCTTTGGGTGCATTATTTGACCTCTGATAAGGAATCCTATCAGCAGGAAACTATTTACTTCCTTAAGTTCTTTAAAGAGGTTGGATGAAGTCATTTCTCCACTGACATATATTTGCATCTCTGATACCAAATTCATGACTCATTGCTCTGTTTCTGTGCTTTCTGCCTACACAAATTCTTAATACTTTTTATTGAAGTTTGACGTTTATAAAAGAGTTTATAGATCATAAAAAAGTTTATGGATCATAAGTATACATCACCTTGAATTTTCTCAAACTGAATACACCTGTATAACCAGCATCCAGATCAACAAATAGAATATTTTCAGCCCCTAAGAAGCCCTCTCATGCCCTCTTCAGTCACTGCTACTTGGACTTTTAACACCATAGATTAATTTTACCTGTTTTTGAGCTTTATAGAAATGAAATAATATAGTATGCACTCTTTTGTGTCCAGTTGCCATGTTTCAACTTTATATAGTAAGATTCATTTATTTTGTGGGATATATTTGTCGTTTGTTAGCTCTATAGTATTCCATTGTGTGAAATCACAGAATTAACTCATTTTTTTCTGTTGATAGGCATTTGGTTAGGTTCTAGTTTTGAGCTAATATGAATAGTGCTGCTATAGATACTATCCTGTATGTCTTTTGGTAAATGTATGGATGTATTTCTGTTGAGTATATTTCTAGGAGTGGAATTGCTAGGAATATGCGTATGGTCAGCTAAAGAAGCCAAACAGTTTTCCGAAATTACTGTTTGATTTATGCTGTCGCCCCCAGTCTGCGAGAGTTCTGTTTGCATTGTTGTGAACACTTGATTTAAAAAAAAAATCTTTTGAATTTAAGTTGTTGATAATTTTTTATTTCAATATAAGTCAAGAGAAATATTTTAAATAGCAATTAAACTTAGCACATGTAGGGCCAACATTGAGCCTAACTTAATCTCAAAGACAGCGACTTTAAAGGGTGTGCAGGTATACAGTGACACTGGATGACTGCCACCTGGTGGTCAAAGATTGTAGGACTTTATTGATTTTACTATTTCTAAAATCAGAATTCATCTTACAGTGTGAAAAAACATCCATGTTAGAACTGGTAAGTGGGACTATGTTGGATGGAAATAAAGAGAATGCAGTACACTGAAGCAGAATAAGGCAGTACCTGCCGGGGGTGATTGCGGTTTTTCTGCAGCAGTCACATAGGAGGTATCACTTGAACAGACACCTGACAGAAGGGAGGGAACAAGCTATATAGTTATTTCAGGAATACTGTTCCAGGACAAGAAACAGGAAAGTACAGAAACAGGAGTGTACTTGAGGTGTTCAAGAAATGGCTAAGAAGTTAGTAAGGCTGGAGTGCAGTGAGCAGAGGTGGTTTGAAGTTTTGCTAGGCATATGACAGAGAGACAGGTGCAAGGGAATTGAGGATCAGGGCAGCAGAGGGAATAGCCCAGAGCAATAGGAGATGATGGTCAAGGGCTAAGGAGCATGAGAATGAGATTTTGGAAGGCTTAGCATTGCAAGTAATGCAAAATGG